CCCTGACATTGGAATGTGGGTAAAGCAGACCTTCAACACGCCGGGCCACTGTCTGGACGTGTCTCTGCAGTAGCCTGGAGACCTATAGATAGAGCGGGTGAGACAGCAGTGTCTCGCAGTACTACAGGGATCCACACGGTGTCCTCTCCTATAATAACAGATGAGCTCACTGAATACGCTGTAAAACTACACTCTGTTAAATAAAAAACACCACATGCGTGTGTACTGGGGTCATCTACTGCAGTAACTTACCGGTAAGAATACCTGACGGTGAATACAGAGTATATTCTTAAAGTTAAACTGCAGTTTTAATAGTTTTATTTTTGTTTATTTGTTTTCATGTTTTTCTATTAATAGTTTATTTAAAATGAATTCAGACTCGACATTAAACACCAACATGGTGCCTCGGACAGTGGAACAACAGCACCCTCTGGTGGCAATGTGCTGTAAATGCGCCACATTTTCCACCATCATTTTTTATGTTAAATTTGACTAAGGAGTAAAGACTGATTTTATGTTCAAGAAATTCAAAACCAATTATTCAGTGAAACACTTTTATCTCTGGCCGTACTCTGGCCGCCTCCACCCCATGAAGGTATGTCCCCCCCAGCGGCCCCCGCCCCTTACCTCAGATCATTAACCAAAGTCAACAGACTCTCAGTGTGGTTGTTACTGGGTCAAGTTTGTCTGTGAGTCCACTTCTCCTCAGACGGTCAAGTGACAGTGAAGTAAACGCAGCATGAACAACAGTCGGTTTACTCAGCCGAGGGTGCAGTTGTGAGCGACGGTCGGTTTACTCAGCCGAGGGTGCAGTTTGTCACCTGTCCACCGGGGGAGTTAAAAAGATGTAATAATAATAAACAAATTAACTAAAATCAAATTGTAATGAACATCAATATTATTATTACACTGGGCCACTGTAGGAGTTGTTACCCCTCCTTAACCAGGGCCACTGGTACAATACCATGGACTCACCTGGTGAGTTACTGGTCTTTAACTTGTTGAAAACTGACTCAAACGACTGGACTGGTATTTATTCAAATAATTTAAATAAGGATTAGAGGCTGGATTATTTTATTTTATTTTTTTATTTGTTGTATGTTTGTTAAAATCACAGGCCTGGAGCCAACGTCTGCCCCTGGTGGTCAACTAAGAGGTAACAGTTGATCCTACTACAACATGGGAGACGGACCTTTTTATGGTAAGGCAAACACGTCACCCACCCTGAAATATAAAAATCTTTGAATTTAATTTAATTTCATTCTGATTTAGAAAGTTGGAGCAGTCAGTACAAAAAAAGGTCAAAGTTTTTTTTCTTTTGTGTTTTTTTTTTTTTTTTTACAAAACAGACCCAACATTTAACCGTTATTTGTTGTTGTTGATAAAATGAGCGACATTAGAAGTTGGTGGTGAGTTCACGGACTCTGTATGGGAGTGGTTCTTCTGCAGGACTTGGCGGAAGTCCTGCCGCGGGCTGGGCTGAAGACTCACCTCTCCCTCTCTCTCCCTCCCTCTGTGTCTTTACCTCCGTCTCTGTCTCTCCCCTCACTCCTCACTCCTCACTCCTCCGCCCAAGACTTCAGTGGAGCTCCGTGTCTCCATCAGCTGTTCCGGCAGCTACCGCTCCCTCGGACACTCGTTTACCCCGGCTCTCTCCCGGTGAAGTCCATGTAGCATCAGCTCTCGGCTCCAGGGACAGAAGAAGAAGAAGAAGAAGAAGATGAGGTATTTCTTCCTCTTTTCTTTGTCTCCTTGTCAAACGTCCGGCCGCGGCTCTGCTCCGGTTCTCAGCCCGACTTCTTCCCCCCCGCAGGTGTTCGTGGCTGCAGCGGTTCTTCCGCTGCGTCCTGGTTCTGGTCCCGGTCCTGGTCCTGGTCGGTCCTGCGGCGGCTCAGTGGACAGGGAAGAGAAACCCCACGGGGGCTGGGGTCTGAATCTGCTCAGAGAAATGTTTCTTCAGCTGCAAAAAAAGACGTTGAATGTTCCTGAAGTGAACAGAACTTTATTTGCAAAACAAGGAAAGTTACCAGGTGAAAACTAGCACTGGTGTCAGGGTTCTGCAGCTAATTAGTTAAAAGTACCAGAAAGGGTTCTTTGTTCCTTTTTTTTTTTTTTTTTAAAAAAATGGGAATTGCTCATGTATTGTTTGTAAAAAAAAAAAGCAAAAAAAAAAGCAAAAGACTTGAAGAATTTAAAGAACCAGAGATGTGTTCATCACAGCAGGTACTGTTGGTACCGATTTAAAACTAAATAAACAGTTTTTAGTTGCCTGAGGATGATGGGAGTGCAGGACAGCGACTGTACACGGTTCATGTCCAGAGGCTACAGAGGGGGGAGGACGGG